TGTCATCAACGGAAAGTTAATTGTAGTTGTGGTATTCTATAGTGAAATATTTTCAAAATGATTTTTATAATGCAACCTCACTTATAGCTCCACCTGAAGCCATCTCTAGTATTACTGCCGATTTCATGCCTGGGCGTTGGTCATGGGATTAATAAACCAATCCCGTAGAAACATGGTTTTCCAGTAGTTTTCATTCATTAATTATGTTTCGCAATCGGTTTTACTTATGTATCTTATAGAACATTACTGTAATTTCCTTCTTTTTCCCTTCTTTGAAAAGATAAAAGATGATTATTAAGGTGATCGACTGGATCATGAAGACGTCAACATCTGAAGGAAGCACGGGATACAGTGGACATCTAGGATGCAGTTGGACGATCTAGACTTCGCAGATAATCTGACTCTTCTATCCAACACGCAACAACAAATGCAGGAGAAGAAGACCAGTGTAGCAGCAGCCCCAGCAGTAGTAGGTTTTAACATACACAAAGGGAAAAGCAAGATTCACTGATACGACACAGCATGCATCGATCGAATCACACTTAACGGAGAAGCTTTGGAAGATGTAAAAACCTTTACATATCTGGGCAGCATCATTGATGAACATGATGGATCTGATGCAGATGTGAAGGTGCGGATCTACAAAGCAAGAACAGGATATTTACAACTAAAGAAGGTCAGGATTTTCAATACAAATGTCAAGATAGTTCTACTATATGGGGTTGAAACTTGGAGAACTACGAAAGCTATCATCTAGAAGATACAGGTGTTTATTAACAGTTGTCTACGCAAAATACTTTGGATCCGTTGGCCGGACACTATTAGCAACAAACCAGATTCTAGCAAAGGAAGAAATCAGGAAGGAGCGCTGGAAGTGGATAGGAATTGGATGGAATTAGAAAAGAAGGTGGATAGACGGCCTATGCTTCATTGGGGATGACAGGCGTAAGTAAGTAAGAAAATATTCAGTAAGGAAAATTTAATTGATTATTAAGGAATATCTACATGAAATATATTCACTGATAAATTAAATGTTATAGGAGAAAGACTGATCACAATTGATCAAGGATGATTATGTATGACAGCTTCTATCATTAATTAAAAACTCAAGTTAGATCCTTATGGAATGTGGATATTCAGATGGTAGTTGGAGGTAGTCAACAGGAAACCCGGGTTTCGTGCTACTTGGCACTCGTCAGCAAGGTGTACCTGTAATGTTGAGGGAATTGGTGCTCCCTGGCGGATTCGATCTCGTGTCACCCAGTTTCACAATCAGAGACGTTACCATTGAGCTATGTGAGCCGTGATTAACCTCCTGTAGGACCGAGATGTAACCACAATTGATTGATCACTGGGTGGTGATCAATGTCATGCTTGTCTAGTCCTTATTAGTGCAGGCCGGACGCTATGCTCGGATAGCTCAGTGGTAACGTCTGTGACTGTGAGACTGGGCGACACGAGATCGAATCCGCCGGGGAGCACCAGTTCCCTCGAGATTACAGGTACACCTTGCTGACGAGTACCAAGTAGCACGAAACCCGGGTCCAGGGTTTTCTGTCGACTACCTCCAACTACCATCTAAATCTCAATACATAGTGCCCGCAGTGTCGAGTCACCTAGACTGGTGGCCAGATTGCAACATGATCGATAGCATTCGATCTGCACTAATAAGGACTAGACAAGCATGACAGTGATCACCACCCAGTGATCAATCAATTGTAGAATGCGGATATCGTTGTAGTTCTACGAATGAAACGAGTATTATTATTATTATTATTATATTAGCAGATTATCCTGATCTCAAGAGATTTGAAGTTCCATCACTAGTGAATCACAGATGCTTACTGATATTGAGTTCAGCAATTAAAATGATCTCCGACTTCATTCTTGTTGATCATCAATCATTTCAACTATCATCATGTCCAATTACTTACTTACTTACGCCTCTTCCTCCTCGTGAAGGAGCATAGGCCGACCACTAGCATTCTCCATCCAACCCTGTCCTGGACAATCCTTTCCAGCTCCTTCCAGTTGTTATTCATCTTTTTCATATTTGCTTCTATTATCCGACGTAGTGTGTTCTTTGGCCTTCCTCTTTTCCGCTTCCCTTCAGGATTCCAAGTTAGGGCTTGTCTCGTGATGCAGTTTGACGATTTGCGTAATGTATGTCCTATCCATTTCCATCGTCTTTTCCTAATTTCTTCTTCAGCTGGAAGCTGATATCATGTCCAATATTTGAAACAAAAATTATCTTTGAAATTGAAAAATATCTAGGAAAATCCTGATTCTTTTTTTTAAGCATAAATTTAGAAAAAGAATAATCATGATGAAACCTAATAAATCTAACTCAACTATAGAAGATCAACTTAAACATTATTTCAATAGTTGAGATGACGAATCAACTGAAGATAGACCACCATGGAAAAACGTTGAAGCACTAGTCAGCTGTTTTGTCCTACTGTGAAACTCCTCAACAGTGCGCATTCACGATCCCACTTAAGGAGTCCCATAGTAGGACGAAATGACCGTTCAATTCTTCCAGTCTGACTTTAATTGACTCATGATCTCAACTAATGAAAGTATTATAATATCCACAAAAACCCATTCTGACACTAATCAACATATGCTCACTAGTGATTGGCTTCAAGAGATATTTCTTGAAGTTCTAGTGTGACACAGTGACCAGTGGAGTTCATCCGAGTCTGTTATGAGATAGTAATTCACTAAAGACAATAGTGAATATGTCGCTCAATTTCGTGGATTAGTTAAAGTTAAACATTAACACCATTAGATCCCGGTCGGCTCATTGGTCTAGTTGGTTAAGCGCTCATATGCAAGACTGATAAATCCTGGATTGAAGTCTCACGAAGCGAGATCGTGGATGCGCACTTCTGAGGCATCTCACAATAGAATGAAATATCCATCCAAATACTTCTAGATTTTCCATGATGCTCTATACTTCAATTCATTTAAAGCAATTAGTCCTTTTTATAAATTTAGATAGAACAATGAAAAGACGGAGTTGATCTGATGAAAATGTGATGTATTTGCGCTATACATTTCGAACAATCTGGTCATACACATATACTTGTCAAGGCATTTTTTTATATGAAAATTAATAAAGGTTCATTGACCCTTGATTGTATTGTTCGATTACTCCTCCCTATTTATGTGTGTCCACACAAACATGTAAATTGGTAAATACAATGGGATGTGATGTAATCATTAGTGCATTGTTTGGGTCTATTAGGAATCATGGCCTTAGACTTTTCAATCACTACCAACTGAGCAGTATAATACGTATTCTCAATGGCTGCTTTCAATCTCTGCCTTAAAACTATACTGTTAGATTCGCCTCTATATGGTAGATTGATATAAACCTTTTTCTTTGGCACTGAATAAATTAGAGGTCTCGGCATTAACTGACTTTTGCACCTATTAATAAACTTGAGCGGATAACCATTTGCAATTAAAGTGTCAGTCAGTAACTTTTCATCTTTTTCCACCATATCAATCAGAGGTACATATTCTTCGAGTCCTCTTAAAGAGTCACTTAACTAGACCTCTCTTGTATTCCAATGGACAGAAACTATGGAAATTTAAATATTGTCCCGTCTAAGTTGGTTTCCTATACACGAACCGTCTAATAGTGCCATCATTCCTTCGACTTAAAAGTATGTCTAAAAAGGCTAATTGGCCATTACTTTCTGATTCATATGTCATCACAATATCGTTTTGAACACCATTGAGTTTATCCAGTAATCGGTAAACATCAAAATCATTATCACATATAATTAGAATATCATCTATGCATCTTCTATATAGAGTTGTCTCACCAATGGGGTCGCTCGTCATATTTTCCACATTTATCCACTCAACTATCCACAAATAATCTTTACTTATATTAAACATTATTTCACAGGTTGAAATCATGAGTCAGTTGAAGCTAGATCACCATTGAAAACCTGGAAGCACTGGACGGCCGTGGTTAAGTGCTCGCGCGCGAAGCCAGTAGGTCCTGGTTTCGTGCACCGCGAGGTGCGGGGTCGTGGATGCGCACTGCTGAGGAGTCCCATACCAGGATGAAACGGTCGTCCAGTGCTTCCAGATTTTCAATGGTGGTCTAGATTCAACTGACTCATGATTTCAACCTGTGAAATTTCTGAAACTCTCCACAAAACCCATTCTGATTAAACATTATTGTTTATTATTATTTTTTCTCTTTTTTTTCTTTTCTTTTCTTTTTTTTAAAGAGAAATTAAAAATAAAATAAGATTTATTTGGGATAAAAATGAATGAACCAATCAAAAATGTGATTTTAATTTAAACCAACCCAAATACAAAAACTGTATGGTTGTATGGAAACTGTATATCCATATGTATAGTCTCAAATAGAATCTATCTCTCAGTGAATATATATATATATATACTCAAATGTTTGAGTAGAAGATACTTTGAGTATAGATTTGAATAAGAAACTAACATTCCCCTTGTTGATATTATTACCCATTATATTTCTAATAAAAGGATTGAAGTCAATGTTCTTTTTAATGATAATGAATAGTTACTATGCCAAAATCTAATATAAACTTTTGAGTTCTATAAAGATCATGAAGATATAACTAGAAACAGACACACACACATACATACATAGATACGCATATACAAACATACATACATGCATCACAGATACAAACACATTTTTGAGCAAATTTAAAAGGAACTCATTATGATCTGGGTAATTGATTCATTCAGAAGACAAATATTTATCACTATGCAATGTCATCATCATCATTGAAATGATCATTTCGAAAAAAGAACATTTACTTCATGACTTTCATTGATTGATTATGATTTTCTTTATTTGAATAAATGAATAAACATTATAGAAATAGAATAATCATCATAACGATGTCTATTTACTACTACTATTTACATGATTAATAAGTAGTATACATTAATCAAGTGGATTCATTATTTTACATTAATCCATTTCATCTATGGTGACAGATGATTTCCTTATTCCATCACGTGGTAAGTATTCTATTATTGTTATTATTATTATTATTAATGTTATTACTACTACTACTACTACTACTACTAGTAGTAGTAGTAGTAAAATTCTATGTTGAATAGTTTTATCTCTCTGTTTAATATGGAATTCAATTGATGAGATGATCTTTGAGTAATGATGAAATGATTTCAAGAGTATCCATTTAATAATAACTAAGACTGAATGATGATGATGATGATGATGATGCTTTGGATGATGATGATGATGATGATGATGCTTTGGATGATGATGATGATTTGGATGATGATGATGATTTGGATGATGATGATGATGATGATGATTTGGAGGATGATGATGATGATTTGGATGATGATGATGATGATGATGATGCTTTGGATGATGATGATGATGATGATTTGGATGATGATGATGATGATTTGGAGGATGATGATGATGAGGATGATGATGCTTTGGATGATGATGATGATGATGATGCTTTGGATGATGATGATGATGATGATTTGGATGATGTTGATGATGATGATTTGGATGATGATGATGATGATGATGATGCTTTGGATGATGATGATGATTTGAATGATGATGATGATGATGATGATGATTTGGATGATGATGATGATGATGATGATGCTTTGGATGATGATGATGATGATGATGATGATGCTTTGCATGATGATGATGATGATGATGCTTTGGATGATGATGATGATGATGATGATGCTTTGCATGATGATGATGATGATGATGATGATGATGATGATGATGATGATGATGATGATGATGATGATGATGATGATGATGATGATGATGATGATGATGATGATTTGGATGATGATGATGATTTGGATGATGATGATGATTTGGATGATGATGATGATGATGATGATGATGATGATGCTTTGGATGATGATGATGATTTGAATGATGATGATGATGATGATGATGATGATGATTTGGATGATGATGATGATGATGATGATGATGATGCTTTGGATGATGATGATGATGATGATGATGATTTGGATGATGATGATGATGATGATGATGATTTGGATGATGATGATGATGATGATGCTTTGGATGATGATGATGATGATGATGATGATGATGATGATTTGGATGATGATGATGATTTGGATGATGATGATGATGATGATGATGATGACTTGGATGATGATGATGATGATGATGATGATGCTTTGGATGATGATGATGATGATGATGATGATTTGGATGATGATGATGATGATGATGCTTTGGATGATGATGATGATGATGCTTTGGATGATGATGATGATGATGATGATGATGATGATTTGGATGATGATGATGATGATGCTTTGGATGATTTGGATGATGTTGATGATGATGATTTGGATGATGATGATGATGATGATGATGATGATGCTTTGGATGATGATGATGATGATGATGATGCTTTGGATGATGATGATGATGATGATGATGATGCTTTGGATGATGATGATGATGATGATGATGATGATTTGGATGATGATGATGATGATGATGATGATGATGATTTGGATGATGATGATGATGATGATGATGCTTTGGATGATGATGATGATGATGATGATGATTTGGATGATGATGATGATGATGATGATGATGATGATGATGATGATGATGATTTGGATGATGATGATGATGATGATGATGATGATGATTTGGATGATGATGATGATGATGATGATTTGGATGATGATGATGATGATGATGATGCTTTGGATGATGATGATGATGATTTGGATGATGATGATGATGATGATGATGATGATGCTTTGGATGATGATGATGATGATGATGATGATGATGCTTTGGATGATGATGATTTGGATGATGATGATGATGATGATGCTTTGGATGATGATGATGATGATGCTTTGGATGATGATGATGATGATGATGATGATTTGGATGATGATGATGATGATGATGATGATGATTTGGATGATGATGATGATGATGATGATTTGGATGATGATGATGATGATGATGATGCTTTGGATGATGATGATGATGATGATGCTTTGGATGATGATGATGATGATGATGATGATGCTTTGGATGATGATGATGATGATGATGATGATGATGATGATTTGGATGATGATGATGATGATGATGATGCTTTGGATGATGATGATGATGATGCTTTGGATGATGATGATGATGATGATGATGATGATTTGGATGATGATGATGATGATGATGATGATGCTTTGGATGATGATGATGATGATGCTTTGGATGATTTGGATGATGTTGATGATGATGCTTTGGATGATTTGGATGATGTTGATGATGATGATTTGGATGATGATGATGATGATGATGATGATGCTTTGGATGATGATGATGATGATGATGATGATGATGATGATGATTTGGATGATGATTTGGATGATGATGATGATGATGATGATGATTTGGATGATGATGATGATGATGATGATGATGATGATGATGATGATGATTTGGATGATGATGATGATGATGATGATTTGGATGATGATGATGATGATGATGATGCTTTGGATGATGATGATGATGATTTGGATGATGATGATGATGATGATGATGATGATGCTTTGGATGATGATGATGATGATGATGATGATGATGCTTTGGATGATGATGATTTGGATGATGATGATGATGATGATGCTTTGGATGATGATGATGATGATGCTTTGGATGATGATGATGATGATGATGATGCTTTGGATGATGATGATGATGATGATGATGATGATGCTTTGGATGATGATGATGATGATGATGATGATTTGGATGATGATGATGATGATGATGATGATGATGATGATGATTTGGATGATGATGATGATGATGATGATGATGATGATGATGATGATGATGATGATGATGATGATGATGATGATGATGATGATGATGATGATGATGATGATTTGGATGATGATGATGATGATGATGATGATGATGATGATTTGGATGATGATGATGATGATGATGATTTGGATGATGATGATGATGATGATGATGCTTTGGATGATGATGATGATGATTTGGATGATGATGATGATGATGATGATGATGATGCTTTGGATGATGATGATGATGATGATGATGATGATGCTTTGGATGATGATGATTTGGATGATGATGATGATGATGATGCTTTGGATGATGATGATGATGATGCTTTGGATGATGATGATGATGATGATGATGATTTGGATGATGATGATGATGATGATGATGATGATTTGGATGATGATGATGATGATGATGATTTGGATGATGATGATGATGATGATGATGCTTTGGATGATGATGATGATGATTTGGATGATGATGATGATGATGATGATGATGCTTTGGATGATGATGATGATGATGATGATGATGATGCTTTGGATGATGATGATTTGGATGATGATGATGATGATGATGCTTTGGATGATGATGATGATGATGCTTTGGATGATGATGATGATGATGATGATGCTTTGGATGATGATGATGATGATGATGATGATGCTTTGGATGATGATGATGATGATGATGATGATTTGGATGATGATGATGATGATGATGATGATGATGATGATTTGGATGATGATGATGATGATGATGATGATTTGGATGATGATGATGATGATGATGATGATGATGATGATGATTTGGATGATGATGATGATGATGATGATGATGATGATGCTTTGGATGATGATGATGATGATGCTTTGGATGATGATGATGATGATGATGATGATTTGGATGATGATGATGATGATGATGATGATGATTTGGATGATGATGATGATGATGATGATTTGGATGATGATGATGATGATGATGATGCTTTGGATGATGATGATGATGATTTGGATGATGATGATGATGATGATGATGATGCTTTGGATGATGATGATGATGATGATGATGATGATGCTTTGGATGATGATGATTTGGATGATGATGATGATGATGATGCTTTGGATGATGATGATGATGATGCTTTGGATGATGATGATGATGATGATGATGCTTTGGATGATGATGATGATGATGATGATGATGCTTTGGATGATGATGATGATGATGATGATGATTTGGATGATGATGATGATGATGATGATGATGATGATGATGATTTGGATGATGATGATGATGATGATGATGATGATGATGATGATGATGATGATGATGATGATGATGATGATGATGATGATGATGATGATGATTTGGATGATGATGATGATGATGATGATGATGATGATGATTTGGATGATGATGATGATGATGATGATTTGGATGATGATGATGATGATGATGATGCTTTGGATGATGATGATGATGATTTGGATGATGATGATGATGATGATGATGATGATGCTTTGGATGATGATGATGATGATGATGATGATGCTTTGGATGATGATGATTTGGATGATGATGATGATGATGATGCTTTGGATGATGATGATGATGATGCTTTGGATGATGATGATGATGATGATGATGATTTGGATGATGATGATGATGATGATGATGATGATTTGGATGATGATGATGATGATGATGATTTGGATGATGATGATGATGATGATGCTTTGGATGATGATGATGATGATTTGGATGATGATGATGATGATGATGATGATGCTTTGGATGATGATGATGATGATGATGATGATGATGCTTTGGATGATGATGATTTGGATGATGATGATGATGATGATGCTTTGGATGATGATGATGATGATGCTTTGGATGATGATGATGATGATGATGATGCTTTGGATGATGATGATGATGATGATGATGATGCTTTGGATGATGATGATGATGATGATGATGATTTGGATGATGATGATGATGATGATGATGATGATGATGATGATGATGATGATGATGATGATTTGGATGATGATGATGATGATGATGATGATTTGGATGATTATTATTATTATTATTATTATTATTATTATTATTATTATAAATGAGTTCTAGGGTATACGATTCAAATTTATAATTGATGTTTATGGTTAGTATTTAAATGTAAAGTTTACATGATGAACTGATATGAACTATAATGGTAAAATGATATTTTACCTTAAATAAATGGATAAATCTCGTATCAAAATCGAAAATCTATCTCTCATCTGATTGGTTTTGTTCACAAATAATAGTTTTGTCAATAATAATAAGATAACATTTATGATAATTGTATGATGTATTAGTATCGATGGCGAAAATTGTATGTATAATAACCACCCTCCTTGAATATATGAAACAATTATTATCAAGCATATTGTGTTACAGAATACTTTACATAGAATAACCTCATCATTCATTTATCTAATGAATTATCAAGTGATTTATAAACTTCAATATGGAAGTAGATACTCCTGGAGTTCTAGTGAGAAGCTGTTACAAGTGGAGTTCAACCAGATCTGTTGTGAGATATCAACTCACTAAAGACAATGGTATACGGTGGCGCAACTTCGTGGATTGGTTGAAGTTAGACATTAACACCGTTGGATACCGGCCAGCTCAATAGTCTAGTAGGTTAAGCGCCTGGAGCGAGACTGATAGGTCCTGGGTTCGAATATCACGGGGTGCGGAATCGTGGATGCGCACTGCTGAGCAGTCCCACACTAGGACGAAACGACCATCCAGTACTTCCAGATTTTACATGGTGGTCTAGCTTCAATTGACTCATGATCTCAGCTATTAAAATTACTATAATATCCACAAAAACCCCTTCTGATAATTAAATAATAACATGTTATTTCTCTTAAATGGTAATATGTTTATATATATATATATATATATTCACTTGGTATTGTTTGGCTTGTGCCTTCCAATTGAGGTATAAGACTGCAATTGATCAGTCTGTTATTAGCATCTGTGTATACTGTGTGCATGCCTCGATATTATCTTAAGTCACAAGCTTTTTAACAATAACAATAGGAAGATACAAGTAGAACAACACTAAGGGAATTGAAACTTCACCACATTGCAAAAGTAGGTGACTATCAGCATTCAGTAGCTAAGTGGATAACGCGATGGCGTTTGAAGTGAATGGTAGTGTACTGGGTTTCGAGTTCCGGTATGAACGTCAACTCTAGGATACAGTTTCATCCAACTGACGAGTCCCAAATAGAACGAAATGCGCATTCTGGATTCCCCTGCTAGTCACTATCCATCTTTGCTTAAAAACTATTTATGGTTATGAGAATAAACGAAAAAAAAGAGAGAAAAAAATGTATAACATGAATACATTCACACTTTAATTAATGAAGTTCTAGTATAGTAACCTTTTAAATATTACTAAACTTTAACAGATCTAATTATTGTTAGTGTGAAATACATTGGATAGATGAAAACTTTCTATTGATTGGTTGAAAGTGACTTCAAGATAACAAGATCATTTTAGTATCCGTGTTAGATAGTCTCTATGATGAAACTGTAATTTATGGACGAACTTTAAACGATGCTAAAAGGATTTTGAAACTATCCACTTATATACTACGGATAAATGAAGGCTGTAAACAAGTATGAAGAATGAGAAATTGATGGTTAAGGTTACGAATTAGATTTACGATTTTTCATCATGAACTGATATCAACTATAATGCCGAAACTTTATTTGACTAAATGGATGAATGAATTTCATGCCGACATTCCGAAATCTGTTATCATATGACCTGATTGGTTCGTCCATTAGTTACAGTCTCGTCGTCTATATTGTTAAAGTTACACATACATATGAACAGTTAAGTCATTGAATATTGAAGAAGTTCGCTATGTTTCTTTTGTGGAAGAGTACTGGATATTTGATGATGTGTTATTTTGTTAATTCACATACTATCTTTCATCGTGGTTGATTTGATATGTATGACACAGTGTTTTAGAACACTTAGTATCTATCTTTACTTGTATGGATTGTTATATACTTTTGTGTTATATGCTACTGATATTTGCTAAAGATATAAGTAGTATGTATCATCATTCGAAAGTGAAATGCCTAATGCCAGAAGGTTAAAAAGATCAAAGAGAAGAGAACGAGAACAAGAATAATGACTGCTGTGGAAACGAAAGAACAATAAAGTTTGAGACAATTGATTGACATTTTGCAAATGAAGTATTTACTTTATGATTCACAGATTTGACTAAAATGTTCTGTAATTTTGTATTCAACTACATTTAGTTGTCCCCCGCTTGTGTTCTCGTTCATTACACATTCACATCGATCTATCATCCTATTACTAACAATCTTTGTTTGATAAACAATAATACTGAAAAGTTAGAATTTATAACCATCTTAAATGAACAAGGATTGATAGTGGCTAGTATTGGAATCCAGTTTGATGAGCGTCTCATCCTATTCGAGACTCGTCAACCGGATATCCCAGCATTTCAAAGTTGATGTTCACTCTGGAACTCGAACTCAGTAGCATTCACTTCATTCACTTAGATAATGACTCCTGATAGCCTTTCATGTTCTCACTAATTGCCTATATGCAAATACCTATTTATCAACGAATGAATCGGAAATGAATGAAACTAATCAAAACAAAAACACCCTTAGATTATTGTACATACATTTTTATATTGCCCTAATTATAGGCTTCTACTCATTGAATACATTAACTATTGATATATATCAGCGAGACTATAATTTGTGAATGGACCAATCAGATATAAGATAAAAGGTCTCGGATTTTGGCGCGAAATTCACTCATTCATTCGGATAAATAGAGTTTCACCATTATGGTTGATGTTCGTTCGTGATGACCCCCCCCCTAAATCTAATTTCTAATCCTTAACCATAAACTATAAATCATAATTTTAATTCCTCACATAAGTTTATAACCCTCATTTGGTTCTGGTTTCTAGGTGAACACTCTCAAGGTCAGTTTAGCGTCACTCCATAAATTATTGTCACATCGATATATTTCATAGTATTCAAAAAACTAAAGTTCGTTATTGCGTTTTGTACTAAAAATAATTTAGTTATGTACAAATTGTGATTTCCTATAAATACATTGTGAGTTTATTGTGCTGGGTATTTTTTTTGGGGGGGGGGTGAAGGAGGAGAGAGAGAGGGGGTGCGAGTCAATCCAACATTTACATTTTTCTTTATCGTTTCCCCTATAAGTTTTTTTTTCGTAAACGTTTATTAGATCAAAAGTAGAACGATTAATGAGTTAATATTAACTTCTCTTTTACTTTACGGTTGCGAAACGTGGTCATCGAAAGTAGAAGATATTTGTAAGCTATTAGTATTTGACGACAGATGCCGTAGAAATATTGCTCGTATCTGCTAGGATCATCGAGTAAGTAACAGTGAGGTTAGACGTAGGGTATTAGGGAATGATGATAAATCAGTTAATGAGGTTCTAGCTCTTCATCGATTGAGATGGTTGGACCACATGTTGCATATGCCTGAACACCGATTACCACGACATACAATGCTAACCGGTGTTAGAGATGGTTAGAGGAAAGTTAGGGGTGGCCAAACCAAAATGTAGCATCAGTCATTGTAGTCACTAACTTCTAGTCTGAGCCATGTTGGTAGATGCAAACTACTTGGTTGGGGTCCATTTGACTATCGTTACCAATGGTTGGAGACAGTGGGTGACATGGCTCAGAATCCATCACAATGGCATCGGTGTATACACTCTTTGTCTTCCTTTAAACTATGAGACTAAAATCGCTTCATATCTTTCTTTGTACCAACTAATTCTTTCTTTCTGTACTATATCCCTACATAAAATCTTCCTTTTATATACTACACCATCGAGTTAACTACTTCTATGGATCCGATGCTCATCTTGCTGTGCTAATGAGGTATGGCAACTTGGACCGATGCACATATGTGCTTAGTTCTACGTTGTAGGCTGACTGACTAACTGACTGACTAATATTAACTTTATTAGTATAAACTAATGTAATCAATAAACACCTTGGAAACACACTATTAGTACATTCATCACATGTTAACAATTGTTTATCAAGATTAAAAGAGTTGAAACAAACAGCCCACTATTAAGTGAATTGAAAGTTTTAAATAATAATAATTATTTTTTCTTGTTAGCGTCTTTTTTAACGAGTTAGTTTTCTACAGGATGGGGTCGCTAACCCCATGCCTAACCCCCCTCCTTTATACGGGCTTGAGACCGGCAGTAGCCCCCGGAGGAACTCCAGGCGGAATTAAATAATAATTATAAGAAGGTTGTAAATATAACTGAAGATCAACATGATAATCCACCTACTGTGATGATGAAAACGTCGAGTTTATATGATGTTCTTTGTTTTTCATTTTTCAATTGTCATATGACTCATTGAATAATCGTTATTGGACCGAATTTCAAAACAAAACAAAAAATTAACTTTATATCAGATTCTTGTATTAGGAACATGTGAAAATGGTAAATAATGGTAAATAACAACGAAACAACAACTGAAGTTGTTATCTGTAATACCCCCACCTACAAACTAAATTAGTTTCTTTTTTTTATAATGAGTTCGTGTTATTGAAATAATTGTTAACTTAATGCCTCGGTGCCTACGCCTTTTCGCTCAAAATAGGCAAAGATATAACATGCTGAAAAATAAATGATCTCTAGCTTAAACCGTGTTTGAACTTAGATCCATACTAATGATAGTATAGCAACTCTCATACAATAAATTTCGTTCAAGGTTAAATCTTGGTTAAGTCGTCTTATTCATTTACTTAATAGACAATGTTATTTGAACAGTAACAGGTAGCATATTTCTTTGTATTATTATGAATACTATCTTGTCTGTATCTATGGAAGATGTGAAATCCTTCACATACATGGGAAACATCATTGATGAACAAGGAGCATCAGATGCAGACATAAAGGTGAAGATTGACAAACCAAGGACAACATTCTTACAATTGAAGAACATATGGGACTCAGAACTACTATCAAAGGCAAAATCTTCAATACGAACGTCAAGACAGCTCTACT